ACTGGTTCGCCATGAAGTGGCGCTACAACCAGCCCATCCGCGTCGTCGCGCGGCGGCGCGTCGCCAAGCACGCGGAGCGCTGCGGCGAGGCCGTGGCCCTCGTCGTGCGCGCCGACGCGGCGTTGAAGATCCGCCGGGGCATCCGCCACCGGCTGGACCGCGACTTCTTGACCAAGCGCTTCGAGGACCAGAAGCGGCGGATCTTCGTCGCGGAGACGCACGTGCTACGTTTGGAGTCGGCGGAGAAGATCCAGCGCGCTTGGCTGCGCTACCTCGAGCGCGTCGCGGAGAACGCGCGCGCGGACGCGCTGCGGCGCAAGCTCGCGCGCGTCGGCGAGATCGAGGTCCAGGACGACGGCGCGTTCGTCATCCAGCGCTGCGCGCGGTGCTACCTCTTCAACCGCCTGTTGGACCTGCGGTTCCAGGCCGCGCGCCAGCGCCTCGACGCCGAGGTGGAGCAGCGGCGGCGCGTCGACGCCGCGCGGAGCGAGCGGAGCGACGCGGAGCGCGCGCAGGAGATGGCCGAGGCCGCGCTGAAGCAGGTCCAGCTCTCCGGCTGGAAGATGGGCTCCGACGAGAACGGCACGAACTACTACTACAACTGGGTCACGGGCGAGACGCAGTACGAGAAGCCCGTCGGCTGGGTGCCGCCCGAGGCGGACGTGTGGATCAAGAACGTCGACCCCAAGGGCAACGTCTTCTACTACAACCAGGAGACCTACGAGAGCGCCTGGTTCCCGCCCTGCTCCGTCTGCCACAAGCTCGAGGGCAAGAAGATCTGCTTCGACTGCCTGCCCGAGGGCTGCGACGCCTACGACGGCGAGCACGGCACGTTCTACTGCAACGAGTGCTTCCCGACGGTCCACGGCGAGGACACGGACTGCAAGGACCACCGCTGGCGCGGCGCCGACGCCGACAAGGAGGAGCTCGGGCCCGGCGAGCGCCACTGCCTCGTCTGCGGCAAGGCCAAGGCCGTCGTGACGTGCACCGTCTGCCGCGATTCCTACTGCACGAAGTGCTTCAAGGACAAGCACAGCCACGGCAAGCTCTTCGAGCACGAGACCATCCCCTTCGAGGAGGCGCGGAGGGGCTGGCAGGAGATCAAGGGCCGCGTCGAGGGCGAGCAGACCTACTACTACAACGTCGCGACGGGCGAAAACCGCTTCGACAAGCCCGAGGAGTTCATGCTCGAGGACGAGCTCCGCGAGCACCGCAACTTCGTCAAGTTCGAGGCCGCCGCGAAGAAGCACTGCAAGCGCGTCGAGGAGCTGCAGATCGAGGTCGAGCGCCTCCAGTACGACAAGGACACGACGATGTTCAACCTGTCGAAGCAGCAGGGCGCGGAGCACGAGGAGCTCGAGGAGCTGCGGCGGCTGCTCATGGCGGAGATGGGCAAGCCGTCCTGGTACCAGAAGTACACCAAGTTCATGGCGAACCCCTACCGCACGTGGAAGGAGAACCGCGCGACCGCGCGGCGGAAGCGAGCGCTCTACCGCAAGATGCTCCTGCTCAACAAGCGCGCGCGCGAGGACGCCTTCCACGACGGCGTCTTCAAGCCGCCGGAGCTCACGGACGAGCAGAAGCGCAAGAACGCCGTCGACAAGAAGCTCAACTCCAAGGGCGCGCCCACGGTCAACGCGAGCGCGCGGCCCGCGGACTGGCGGTCGGGGGCGTAAGAGGAGCGGTCTTATTTAGTGGGCCGGGGGGAGACGGCTATGTTAGGCGCGGAGCAGGTCGAAGCCGGCCTTGCGAAAAAAGCTGCCGTCGACTTCGTCACCGTCGACTTCGGCTGGAAAGGGCTGCCTGATCTCGCGCCAGGCCCAGATCAAAGGTTCGACGCGCTCGAGCGCGAAGCATTTGACGGTGCCATTCGGGTAGGGTAGAGTAATGTTGATGAATGTTTCCTGGTGAGTGGTGACGAAGTTGACAGGGCGGCCAGGCTGCTCGAAGTCCACGCGCTCGGACCACGTGCAGGTCTCCGTGTCGAAAACAACGGTCTTTTCACGGTTGGGTTCGTCGGGTTCTTCCCAAGAACAAAAGATGTGGCTCCCCGCCGAGCACATCTCGGCGCACCACATCGGTTCCTGATAATCCGGCGCACGGGACCAAGCGCGTCGTGTCGGGTCGTAGATCTGTAACACTGGCGGCGGGTTCGCGAAATCGTCGGCAACGTTGCCGAGAACGTAGAGCTTGCCACCACACGCGCAGCACAACGGATAATCGAAGCCGATGGGCATGTCCGCGAGCCGCGTCCACGCACCCGATTGCAAATTGAGCGTGCGCACACTCGCGCGTGCAGCGGTCATTGCAGAGGGATCATCAGTGTCCAGTAGCATACCGCCGACGAAGCACAATTCGTCGCCGAGCGCACAATAGTCGAAGCTTGTCAGCGCGCCGAGGTGGGCGAGGTGGTCGATCGTCCGCCAGGAATTTTTCTTCAGCGAATATACGTGCATGGGCGGCAGCTGCAGCTCTGCGCCCGGCGTCAAGCGGAATGGGTCAGGCACGCGGCAGAGCTCCCCTCCGATGACGACGGGGTGGAGGCACTCCACCTCTGCCGGGCAGGGCGCGCAGAGCCGCCACCGCGAGTCGAGGATCAGCGTCTTGCCCGGGCGACTGCTATCAGAGGAATGTTTGTGCACGATGAGCACGTTCATATGATGACAGCGCACGGCGGCGGCGAGGCGCCGGCAGGTCACCGCCGCGCAGGCGCCGTCGACGAGGCCCAGGTGCATCGACGAGCGCGTCGTCGGGCAGGCGCATGAGTGAGAACGGGGCCGTGCCGCCGCGCCGCTTCTCCGCCTCGGGCGGCGCCTCGGGCGGCCCCTCCGGGGCTGCCGACGAACCGAAGCAGAATTTACGGGCGCCATTCAGCATGCTTCTAGGCGCGAACATCGTGACTCGGGCCCGAGCTCTGCTTCAACGTGTGGGCCGAGCCATTGTTGCCGTAAGGGCCATGGGTGCTCCTAGAGACGCCTACTCCTGTCCGCGCCCGCGCCCCTACTCGGCGCAGACGAGGTGGTCCCAGATGGCGCTCTTCTTCGCCTCCTTCTCCCTCGCGGACGCCTGGCGGTTCTCGAGGACGGTGACGGCGACGGCCGTGTAGTCGCGGAGCATGGCCTTGGACTGGTCCGGCCCCTGGTAGTGGACGGCCTGGCTCAGGACCTCGACGAAGGTGTCGGGGTGGACGACGCCCGACGCGCTGTGGTCGATGGCCTTGATGACGTCCGGGTCCGCGCCCGCGGCGAGCAGCTCCGACGAGTCGAGGACGCCCTCGGCGAGCCCGAGGCCCGTCATGACGCCCGCGAGGGCGACCTTGAAGATCTCGTCGTGGGCCGTCGCCGCGTCGCGGGCCTCCGCGAGCTGCCGCTCCGCGGCGCCCGTGGCGCGCTCCGCCGCGGCCTTGTCCGCGAGCGCCTGGGCAGGAAAAGGGTGCGAAATTCCCAACTTTGGAGGCTCCTATCTCGGTCATTTTCCACTCGTTTCGGCTGATTTTGGGACGAGCGATCATCCCTCGGAGCGCTCTCGACGCGTGGATGCTTTTTCCGGAACGCGCGCGCGCGGAACACTCATGTTGAAGCGAACTTGAATCACCCTTTTCCTGCCCTGGCGAGCGCGTCGCCCAGCTGGAACTCGAGCTTCGTCGCCTTCTGGGACGCGGCCGCGGCGGCCTTGGCGTGGTCGTCGGAGCGCGCCGCGTGCGTCCGCGCCTCGGCGAGGAGCCGCGCGGCCTCGGCGTCGCGTTTCGCGATCTCCGCCTTTCGCGCCGCGGCGCCGTCGCCCGACGCGCGCTCCGCGGCGGCGACGGCGAGCGCGAGCTCGCCGTCCTTCGTCGCCAGCGCCCCGCGCGCCGCGGCCAGGTCCGCGTCGCGCCGTGCCAGGTCGCCGGACCGCGCGGCGAGCGCCTCCTCGGCGGCGGCGAGCAGGCGCGCCGTCTTCTCGGAGGCCGCGAGCGCGGCGCCGAGGTCGCCCGCGGCGCGCTTCGCCGCCGCCTCGGCGGCGGCGAGGGCGCTCGCGAGCTGCGGGGCGTCGCCGCCGGCCTTGGCCTCCTCGACGGCGCCGGCGAGGGCCTCGTTCTGGCCCAGCGCGTCCGCGAGGTCGCCCGCGGTCCGCTCCCGGGCCGCCTGCGCGTCCTCGAGCTCCGACGCCAGCTGCCGGCTCCGCGCCTCGGCGGCGCCCTCGCCGGCCCGCGCCGTCGCCAGCGCCTCCTCCGCCTCCTTGAGGGATTCCAGGGCCTGGCGGCCCTCGGCCGCCGCGGCCTCGACGGCCCTGTCCCGCGCGTCTTTGAGCTGCGACTGGTGCCGGAGGCGGAAGATGCGGCCGACGAGGGAGATGGACTCCTTGAGGATTTTCTCCGACGCGCCGGGCATCTTCGCGAGCATCTTCCCGATCTCGCCGACGAAGGCCGCCCGACTCAGGTCGCCGCCGCCGGGCAGCATCTGCTCCGTGTTGAAGCCCACGGCCTTGAGCTCGCTCGTCGCCAGCGTCCCGGCCTTGGCCTCGTCGAGCGTGTCGAAGACGGCGCCGAGGACGCCGGCGGACAGCGCCGGCAGGGTCGGCGGCGCCTTCTTCGACGACATGATGGCTTCGCCGCCACCAGATCCTGCCCACCGGGGTGCTACCCAAAAGAGATTAGAATGCAGCAGAGCATATCTGCGTCACAGACGGTGAAGTTTCCCGGGCTCTCGTGTTACCTAGGGCATGTCGGAGACGTTGCGGAGCGACAGGGGGACGGTGATGCCCCCGGCCATGGATTTCCGGCGGACGAACTTGCCGCCGGGGCACTCGGGCGTCTCCTCGACGACGACGACCGTGTCGACGTCGAGCGCGTCGTCCGGCGGGACGTCGTCGAGCTTCCAGCCGCCGTCGAAGGCCTCGGCGAGGGGCGGCACGAAGTCGGCCTTGCGCGAGACCTGGCCCTCGGGGAGGCGGAACAGGTGCTCCGCCGCGTCGCCGGCCCAGGCCGCCGTGGCCTCCTCGAGCGGCCGCGCGTCGAAGCCGGCGGCGTCCGCGGCGCTCCGCTCGCGGCGCCCCGCGAGGAGCACGTGCGACTCGAGCTTGACGATGTCGACGATGGCCACGAAGATCAGGTCCACGCCGAGCTCCGTCTTCGCGACGGCCATCTCGGGCACGAACTCGTCCGCGCGCTTCAACATCGCCTCCGGGTCCGTCGTCTCGATGACCGCGAAGGCGACCTTCGTCGGCGTCGGGCCCATCTTGAACTGCTTGATGTCGCCGGAGACGAGGCTGTAGGCCGACATGGCCGCCAGGTTCTTCGACTTGGCCTTGAACTGCTCCGCGCACATGACGTTGACGTCGTCGACGCCGCAGTACTGCACGAGGAGCGCGACCATCTTCTTGTCCCACTCCGTCGTCGTCGGCGACCGCAGGTTGAGCGTGTCGCTCAGGATCGCGCCCAGCAGGAGCCCGCCGACGGGCTTCGGCAGCGCGATGCCGTTCAACGCGTACGTGTGCGCCAGAATCGTCGACATGGACCCCCAGGGCCGGATGTCCACGAAGACGGGCCGCGGGATCACCACCGTCGAGTTCTGCAACGCGTGGTGGTCGATGATGCCGACGATGGACTCCTGCGGGATCGCCGCGTGGAGCTGCGTCGTCTGCTGAAAGTCGACCAAACAGACCTTGGCGCCGGGCCCGCGCTTTTTGAGCACGTCGTCGACCATGGGCAACTCCTTGAGGTCGTAGCCCCAGTAGTCCAGCGCCCAGGCCGTCTCGCTGTTGATCTCCGACGCGCGCGCCGCGTGGCCGCCGTACAAGAGCGCGCCGCCGATCGCGCCCGCGATGGAGTCGAGGTCGGCGACGAGGTGGCCGCAGAAGACGGCGTCCTTGAGCTCCTCCGGTATGTACATGCCCACGCCCGTGTCGTCCCTGACGAAGTTCTGGAGCAGCTGGTTCGCCGCCGCGAACTCGGACTTGACGGCGGCCTCGACGGGCGTCGCGTCGCGGATCTTGAGGTACTGCTGGTCCGTCAGCACGGACTTGCGCCGGCCGCCCATGGTTCTTTGCGTGCGGGGCGCGCAGACGAAGAAGTTTCTCCGCGCGCCGCGCGGTTGCGGCCACCGGTGTGACGCCGCTAGATGGTCTATGGGATGGTCCGATTTCGGTTTCAAAATCATCTCTCCGACTTCACCAAGGTAACGTTTACCCTACTCGAAGCGCCGCGCGCCGAGGATGACGTCGGAGACGATGGCGCCGACGGCCGCGGGCGACTTGAAGTCGGCCTGCTTGAGCGTGATGAGCTCCGGCGCCGGGTGGCGCTGCTTGAAGCGCTGCGCGTTGCGCTTCGACGCGTCCGACGCCTTGTGCACGACGAGGACCCTGGCCTCGATCCGGCCGATGGGCAGCCGCGGCAGGTAGGTCAGGGGCGCCAGGAGCGCGACGAGGGGCGGCACGCGCCTCGGGTCCGACGTCGCCGCGTAGGCGAGCGCCGCCGCCGCGCCGCCGCCGTAGCCGAGGAGCGCGCGGAAGACGAGAAAGGGGCTCTGGCGCTGGAAGTGCGCGAAGACCGCCGCGAGCGCGTCCTCGCCCTTCTCCTCCGTCGCGGCGAAGCGGAACGTCGGCAGCGCCACGGCCCGCGCGAGCTCGTCGCCCTTGCCCTCGGGCGTGTCCGGCCCGAGCACGAGCAGCGCCATGCCGGCCCGCTCGAAGGACCCGTCGCTCGTCTTGTAGATGCCCCGGAACTCGCCCGCGACCTTGGTGCCGTCGCCGACGTCGATCTCGAGGCGCTCCGCGGGGCCGTCCTGCCCGAGCGCCGGCGGCGGCCGCCGGCCGCCGTCGCCGCGCTGCACGACGACGGTGCCGGGCCGGAGCGGCTCGGCGTCGTCGTCGAGGCGCCGCGGCGGCAGCGAGGAGCGCTCGACGACGTCCACGGGGCCGTCGCGCCCCGCGTAGCGCCGCAGGTCGCCGACGGTCGCGGGCGCCGCGCCGCCGACGCGGAGCGTGAGGGTCGTGCCGTTGGGCAGGCGCGCGACGAGGCACTCGCGCCGGTCCGCCCCGTCCTTGTCGACGACGAGCGCGAGGATCTTCTTCCGCGACGCCGCGTCCTCCGCGGACTCGGCCGCGTCGGCGCGCTTCGGCGCCGCGGGCGCGGCCGCCGGCCTCGCCGCGGGCGTCGCCGCGACGCGCGGCGGCGCGGCCGCGGGCGGGGCCGGCGCGGGCGCCTGGAAGATCTGGCCGCCGCCCGTCGGCGACGTGAAGTTCTCGAAGTCGAGCGCGCGGCCGCCGCCGTCGACGATCGTCGGCCCCCGCGGCGCGATGCCCGCCTTCTGCATCCGCGCGACGTTCCCCGCGTGCTCCGCGGCCGCGAGCGCGTCGAGGCGCGACAGCGCGTCGTCGCCTCGGGGCGGCGCGGGCGGCGCGGGCGCGGCGCGGCGCGCGGGCGCGGGCGGCGGCGGCGCGGGCGGCGGCGCGGGCGGTGGCGGCGGCGCGAC